ACTTCCGCGTGACCGACATTAAATCACATTTGTCGCGATACAGTTCGCCCAAAGGAAACTAACTCCATACGATCGGTGTTCGCGAAAAATCCTGAATATTATTTATACTCGTACGTTATTGGAAGCGGTTCGAATCACCTCAGTGCAGCATTATAAATATTTAAGGAACGAATGACCACCGACGAAAAATTCCGTAATAGAAGCGTGACTGGCACTCGTCAAACTGCCATAAATCTCCTCGGGAAGAGTTATAACGGACGCACTCCCATTGTCCGGGTCGCGCTTTATCTTCGTCACCGGTTTCCTATGCGAACGACTCCGAATTTTCAATTTTCTTCCTCTCTTTATCTGTCAATCCTGCAATCGCGGCACGCCGACGCAGGTTTTGCAGAATCTGCATCGACGCGACTATTGGTCCCGGGCATGTGTACAGGACGATTCCCTTCGGTTCTGTTGAATCTGACGCTATTCGAGAAACACAGTCGACCTTTTTAAACGACACGACACGCTCTATTTTCAGAACTTTCCCAGCTACAACCGGGAAAAGCCACTTCTCTCGATATCATTGTAACCTTTTCCAGCGGAGGCAACAAAGTCGTTATATCCAATTGAAGCTATTTAAATGACCAATTTTAACACGCGGACACATTGGCGTAAGATATTTACGAGACCGGATGGCCGCAGAATTTAAATATCCATTACGAATCCGCGAGAGTCGCGGACAATTTTTCCCTCGAAAATTTATTATCCTTTTATTGGGACATTCTCGCGAATGTTAGCCAAACAATGCCCTTTGTTCTGCCCTCGCAGGTTTTAATCCACCAGGGGGGGCAGGGAGGCACGACCGTTAGGATTTAAAAGAGGCACTGCATTCAGGATTCAAGTGCATCTAGGATTGCGCGCGTTTCGTTTGATTTATACCAGCGCTACAGTGACGCGTTGATAAATGTGTGCCCGCGGATGGGCTCGGGAAGGACGCGTATCGATTTCCGGGAATGAATTCGCTACTGAAACCGAATCGTTCGCGATAGAGCCACGGATAACCCTATTTGCTAATTGGACTTGAAATTATAACTAATTCGTGTTGAATATTAATTCATTCGTGCTCTCAAAAGGAACTTCTCGAAATTTGCTACATCCGAATATACTTATTATCGATATGTACACGCTTGGAAAATGATCGATACCGAAACTGGGCCTTCTCTGAGCGCGTTAAGGGGCCTTTCTACCTTGTGGGATTAAAAAAATCGATATTTTTTTTTTTGCATTTTTCTTTAGTATGTAGTCTCGAAAATATGTCTACCAAATATTGAATTAAAATTTGAAAAACTAACGAATTTATAGCCTGCTGAAATGTACCGCGCGCAGTTATAACAACTGGACGTGAAACTTTAAAGCTGTTTTTCTCGAAACTACATTTTTCGGCACTGCGTGCGTGATAACTAAAAAACTATTCAAGATATCAACATCAAATTTATACAGTATCTTCAGAACTGGTCTCCCTATAGCACGAACTAGGATAATTGCGATATATGCAATACTTTTTCTTTTATTAACAAAAAAGCAACCAAATATATGAAAATATTCAGTATTTTTTCGTAAAATAGCTGCCATTTTGCCATTTTTTGTTTTTTTTGAAAAGATCCTGGTTCATGCTATAACCACACTCATCTATATTAAGAATATCGTTGGTTTTAGGATTTCGAATAACTTGTTCGCAAGATATCACGTACGCAGTCGGGGGTGCCGTTCGTAAAAACTGTTGTTCGATGATCAACAAAAACAGCGTAATCGATAGATATTATGCGTTGCAAAAATTCGTAAATATAGCTAAATATATAATAAATGTATCTACAAAATCCGGAATTAATCGCTCTTTAATAACCCGCAAAAAAAAAATCACAAAGAAACACGTATTTTTCATGCCTACAAGGTAGAATGGTCCCTTAAGCTTGGAATCGAGATCCGATGGGTGAATTTCCGCGGTGCTTTGGAAACGCTAGATCAGTACAGTCTTTTTCTCTGGGAATTGTAATTAGTATATTCACGCGGTTTACCTTGTACAAACCAGCGGATAATCGAGTTCCTGGTAGCGCTCGACAATCCCCTCGTAATGACGCATTCAATAATCCCTCGCAACCTGGAGCCCCGCGGTGTGTTCTCATTACAGGGACGGTATCGGGCCACGCATCCGTAGGTAATAAATCGGAATCGACGTTCAATCGTGCCCAAAATACTTGGGCAATCGACACAGCCGCCTCCCCCCTCCCCCGCGCGCGAGGGGCGAACGCGTCGTGTAAAATGAATAATTAATATATTCAAATGGAACACACTTAAACCGTGTAGTGGCACTCGTCCGACGTTTCCGCGGCATGCATACACCCCTATCTGTCCAAATATCCATTACACGCGTCCACACGCGAGCAAACTCATTTGAATTCGCGCCTACAACCCCCCCCGACAATTCACTGTGCTCGTTCTTACACACGCTCAATGTATTCATATTACATCCCCCCCCGTCGGTGCTTCAATCTCCGGGTGAGATTCAACCGAGACACACTCACGTTAGGGTTATAATCTTCACCAACCCCTAACGATCAGTATTTCTCTATTTTAAAATAGTTTCCGTTTAATAATTCCGTTCCAGATAGCCCACGAGGAGGTCGTTTGTTTCCTGGAACGTTGTTACGTTAACCCTCCTAGAAATAATCGTCGAGTGCAAAGGATAGGGTCTACGGGCGCTAAAAGAATCTCATCACGGTGCCCCCTTTTATTTTTACTGTTAATACGTTGTTTCGCTTTTATTACCCTGTTCGCCCCCGCTGAGGAAGGCTCCGGGACGATTTTGTTTCCGACCCTAACGCATTAAATCCCGTGACTATCCCTCCAGGAATATATACATGCACGTGTATCGGGTGTGTCGGGGAATATTAGGTTGCGCTATTACTGGCGTTTAAGTTGTCTAATTAGGAATTGTTCGAGATCGTGTTTTCGAGGGACGATCGTGCGGGGTTAGATCCCCCGTAAACTTCGCGCTACGAAATAGTTTGGTTCATGGCTGAATCGCGCGACCCAGCCGTGTGGCTCTTCGGAACTTCTCACGTTCGACTGCTGTATCGATTCAACTATTTCACGGGCCGCTGATTGTTTGTGCCCATGTTGCGGCCGCATAATAGGCCGAATTGTTACCGAGAGCAAAGTAGCTACACGCTATAAATCCACTAAATCAACCGGTCGATTCGAGCCCCACCAGCCTACGCCCGCTACCTTCCGTATCCACGACGAAAGTACAAGCAAAACGATTCGGTTTGTTGCAGGGATGTTACGCCAGCGCCGAGTGGTCAACCTGGACTTCAATTCCGCGGCGCGAAATCGCAGCATTCGATCAAGGATCGTCCTGGAACGATCCAGACGCACGGAACGACCCCGGTGAATCATTCTTACTTTTCTCAATATCGTCTCTTCGATCGATCAGCAGCGCATCCTCGACGGACTCGATGATCGTTCCAACGACAGGGATCCACGGAGGATCTCGAGAGTGATCCCAGCGAGAAAAGGTCGGATCGCCGTTACAAAGTGGGCCATTATTGTACAGTATAATTTAAGTGGACGTGGATTCTTCACGATTATACACTAGTGTTCGTTGTCGATGAGCCGTCTGTGGGGATCGAAGGTTGAACAGTGCGCGGTAAAAAAAAGATACGTGGAACGCTGAGATTTGGTGGGAAACGGGGTCGCGTGGTTTACGACGCGACGTTGCGTCGATGAGAGTCGAGAGAGATTTATCGGCCAGAAAATAGAAGCACAGACGAGGTATACGAGCAGACCTTGCACGTTATGGAAACTCAAAAAATTTCGAATCATTCTAAAAAAATTATTTTTAGATGCAGGGATCAGTTACAATCATTTTTGGTGATTAGAAATACCCTCGAAATCCGCCCCACTTTCGAGAAAAAAATTCATTAGTAAGAATGTCTGACCAGACGTTTATCTGTTCCCCTGAAATTTTTCGTCGGAAAAAAAAAATTTCAAATCGATCTAAAAAAATTATTTTCAGTTGCAGGGGTCAATTACAATCATTTTTTATCAATAGACATACCCTCGAAATCCTAACCATTTTCGAGAAAAAAATTCATTGCTAAGAATGCCCGACCAGGCGTTTATCTGTTCCCCTTAAATTTTTCGTCGAAAAAAAAAATGTTCAAATCGTTCTGAAAAAATTATTTTTAGCTAAGGGGGTTAATTACAATCATTTTTGGTGAATAGACATAATCCCGAAATCCTACCCACCTCTGAGAAAAAAATTAGAGAAGATGTGAAAGTTGCGACAAAAAAAAAAATTTCAAATCGTTCTGGAAAAATTATTTTTAGCTAGGGGAGTCAATTACACCCATTTTTGGTGAATAGACATATCCTCATAATCCTGCTCGCTTTCGAGAAAAAAATTCGAGAATTTGTGAAATTTTTCGTCAAAATTGAAAATTTTCGAATCGTTGTAAAAAAATTATTCTCGGTTGCGGGGGTCAATTACAAGCATTTTTGGTCAATAGAGATACCCCCGAAATCCTACGCATTTTCAAGAAAAAAATTCTTTACCGAACATATGTGTGGCTAGAAATGTTCCCTTGAAATTTTATGGTAGTAGGGTTCTAAAGCTCCAGAAAAAGGGCGAGAAAAATACATAGGGTGTAAGGGCTACTCGTGTACCTCGTCTGTGATGGAAGTTCCGTTGTGATTACCACCGAATACCGTTTCCACGGAGATTATCGATTGTTTAGCGAATCGTCCGACGTTCCGATCGTATTTCCTCCATGATTACGTGTGTCTCCGAACGAAAGTCAACCCGAAAGGGATATTGTTGCCCGGTTCTAAAGGGGAGTCGCGTTAAAAGGCAGAGTGACGGGGCAGAGCCTTTGTCGTTTCTCGATTTTGATTTTCCGATACGCGACAAAGTCCAAGACGGTCGCTATCGCTGCCAGTCAAGCCTGACAACCAAGAAGATGGTCTGGTCGGGATACTTGAACCCGTCAATTGCAGTTGTCGAAGCCATCGACAAACACTCGGCACAGGTAAACTATTACACGGTCCCTGATTGGACTCCTGGATCCCGCCTCCCTGCGATCTACATTAAGTCTCTCGGTTTAACCCGGATCCCCCCCAGAGGTATCGCCGACTTCTCTCGAATAGTTTGACCGGAAGAATGCTGCCCAGACGGGTATAATTAATTAGTCGAGGTACCGAGATTCTTTTGCAACCGCTTCCCACCCCGAAGATTATCGTCTCCCAGCTCGAGGAAAGGATTCTGCGACGATATAAATTCGTCTCGACGGTAATCGTGTCTCGCGTAAACTGACTGGAACGTTCTGGTGCATACTATCGACTTTCTGTCGCAACTAGGCTCTAGGTCCTCTAAATTAATTGACTAAAATTTCTTCTAAAATTCTAATGTTTGCTCAACGAATAACACGTGGCACGCGTAGCCTGAACTCTAGATTCCAAGAAGAACTTCCGGTCTCGAGATATTTCTGCTCGAATTGTTTGTGCTTTAGCCGCCATAGTTCGCGCCCGGAGGCAAAGAGAAAGATCGCAGCCTCTTCGGGAATCGAAAATGGAAGACGATTGCCGCCAAGAGGAGAACCAGAGAGATAGTATACGACGTGTACGACCAACTCCTTGGAGAGCCAAGCACTGGAAGACTGGTGCTCGCTTGAACGAAAAGAAGCTGTATTCGGTTCGTTTGAAAGCTGCGAGAAGCACGACATCGATCGGCGTAAAATGCCATTCCGCGGAACACGATTACGACGAAATAATATTTCCCCGACGAGCGACGACGGAACGACCGCTAATCAATTTTCTCGTTCTATTACAAAGCTAAGAAAAAGCTGGCGATTTAGCAGGAATTATTTTACCGTTCCCCGACGAGCAATATTTTCATTTTATTTTCCGTGGCATAAACGAACAGGGCTCTGCCGCTCCTGATCCTCGTAGGATATTAAAGACAGGATGGGTCCTGTATTGGGCCAATATCTCGGTTACTATCGATCCTCTCGCGAGTACACATGTACAGCGTAAAAACGTTTTTTTGTTATTCCAAGAATGATACGCGTATATCGATCGAGGAGGAAATGCAATTAGAACTATCTCGTGTAAAGAGGATCACGCGCTAAACGATCCGTGAAAACGTTTGCCTAACGCGTGTATTTGCAGTTCTTTCGATTCGATTTTATTTCGAGTGTTCCATCGTTCCTCCGATCATTTTCCTTTTCGTTCCTGGCGCGACAAAGCGAGCCAAGGAAATTGTGATGTGCGAAAACGTATCAGAACGAACGCGACGACGTCGAAGGGAAGATTTTATCTATACATGTTAACGTACACACGATTATACATATTATTATAAGTAGTCCCGATCGATCGCGATAAGATTATATTTTTATATGTAAATATGGCGTTCCTTCTTGTTATCTAATACATTTAATAAATTATATCGACGAAAGGATGGGATCCAGAGAACGATCGCGAAACGAACGAATCGCTTAGATCTATGAATGTTTCATAAGAAACGGGACGCAGGCAGAGTGCATCGATTTTAACGCATTGTTTGACGGGAAGAATAAACTCGATTTCGCCCGTTAAATTCTTGTCGAACCATTTTATCGGACACACGATCCATTTATTTAAGTCGCGGATGCAAAGTTTCCGAAAATATACCGGACACGAACCGAACATTTCTGTGATCGATCGCGCGAGGAATTAATGAACGACAACGGTATAGGGCCGAGCTCCGTTATAATGGGTTGGGAATATAGCGAGATCGCGATTGTAACGAGCAAAAATTCACAGCGATTTCAGTTTGCTCGCGGCCCCGTGCAATTGTTCACATTTATAGCGGAGCGTACGGAACTCTAAATTTGAGAAACACGGACCGAAATTGCTTAAACGTACGTCGATTTTCAGGCTCGTAATAAAAGCTCGATAATAAAAATTCAAACCGTGTTTATTATTAATTAATATCGCCGGCGAGAGAGCGCGGCACGAAAATTACGAGGGAATAAATTGCATTTAATATCGAGCGTGTCATAGTTTATGCAAGAACACGGGTTATTTTATCGAATCCGAGCTTCGTTTGTCGGGAAATCAGTTTTAAATAGAAATGCATTAACTTTTCATACGTGGCCGTTGTTCGACGTATTTCACGTTTTATGAACCGATCGGTTACAGGTTAGTCGATGCGTTAAACAGTCTTTATTCTAGAAACGTTCTATGTACCATTAAGTCATGAATTGTGACTCGAGTAAATCTTGTTACAGGGGAAATCTAGTTTTCCCTGGGTTTATTCAGCTATCTCTCGTAAAAACAGCCTCATCACGAAGGGTGGTCTTCCCTTCTCTTCCACATTATCCTCTCTACTTCGCTACAACCGATCCAATTTTCCTTTTTGCTTCAAAGTCTTGTTTACCGTCCCCAGGCTAACGCAACATTCCGTATCCCTTTGAGCAGTCGAAGCTTATTCGCCTAAGCTAACGTGCTTTCTCATTTTCTCAGAGCAAGTTAACTAATCCGTAGAGACAGTGAGAAGTATCGTGGATGTCTAAACGCTTCATTCTCGTAAAATTCCGATCCGGAACATTCGGTTTTGCGTGTTTGATGGACATTAGTTGGCCGTATAAATATCGGTCGGATACTTTTTTCAAACCGAAAAGGAATTACTTTTCTCGCGGTATGCTGATCCTGGATGGGCGAATCGTGGCCCCGACATTCCGGCGAGAAAACATACACACACGAGTCGTGATGCATGCGTCAGGATTCCGCGAAATTGCGCTGTCAGCGGCGTGTCACGATCGCGACCTCCCTGGCGACCCAAAAATCGCGAAAAATCCCATCGCCGAGCAGCCAGACGGCAGAAAAAAATCGTCCCGCGGTTAACCCCCATGACCCAACCTTTGTTTCTTCCCTTATCTCTCGGATGGACCCATCAACGGGAAAACACCTCGTCCATCGATAACAAAAGCACGGACAATGGTGATTTTTGATGCGCGCCGGAAAAGGAGACGTTTCGAAATCTCGATGTTTATTTATTTTATACATTTGGGTGTGAAATGTAAATATTGCAAATTACATGTTGACGCAAATTGAATGTTTTTGATTTTTTGAAAGAACGACTCGAGAACCGCGAACGCGGTATTCGCAATAACACGTGGGATCCATCGGGACCGGAAGCGCCGGTTAGGTCCGGATGCAATTGCACATTCTTCCAGCAGTTCGGGGCGAACCTTTCGGCAGCGGAGTGCATTCCACCGGCGCGGTTCGCTTGCAGCGAGAAATTTGGCCGCTATCGGAGCACCAATTTCTCGGAGGCATGCGCCGCGACGCTCCCTCGTTTCGTTCCTAACTGCCGCGAAAGGTAATTGGAAATTTTTCGCGACCAAGGGCGGGGAAAGAAGCGTAACGCGAGCGAATGTCTTCGTTTGAACCGAGTCGGATCACAGGGGAATCCTTTGTGACGGTTTTCCTGTTTCAAGTTACGCCCGATGTAATTGTACCTAAGTCTCCCAGGGCCCGTTCGACCGAATTAATTATAAGGATCGATTGCATCGGTCGTACAAAGCGTCTGACCACACGAATTTTGAGAAAGCTCGCATCGTACGGAGAATATGGAAACGCCATTATTTGCTAAATTAAACCCGTTGCTTCGAAGAACGTAACAAGCACGATACCATGTCCGCATTTTAATTTGCGCGAATGTATTTACAGTAGCAGCTGACGTGTTCTGATGTTTAATTAACAACTCCCTGTTACGTTATCCGCGCCGGAAGCGTCGTTAAATGTATATTTCGTTGTGTCTCTGGTAATATTATGGTCAGAGTTACGATCGAATGTCCGGCGCGTTTATCAATTAAACATTGTTGAAAACTGACCGTATATTCGAGGGAAAAGGGAATTCTATACGCTCAAATTATCTTTCGAATCATAATTAAATATAAGTACGTAAATAAATCATTGTTATTCGACGTTGGATAATTACGCCAACGAGGAACTGAATGAAAGAAATCGGTGCACTGCTGCCTGCAGAGAACGAAAGGACAAGGGACGTAAAGAGAGAGAGAGAGATAGAGAGAGATTTAAGAAACTACGAGTTAGCCATAAGTTGTATAGCTGTTTCTATATAAAACTACGATACGATATGATAAGTAATACCTTAAAGTCCCTCGCACTTATCGACATCATCGCTGTAAAGAGAAGAGAAGCGGAGAAAACGGAGAAGAAACGTTACGACGGATTAATTCGAGAAGAGCTGTATATGTAAAGCAATTGTCAGTTATTAAATAAACGAATCGAAAGCACCATTTCAGCTGCCATTTTCCTCGCCGCGAAATTTCGTTCCCGCGGTCCCCCCCGGGTGTCGTTACAATTTGGAAAAACGCGGCCGAAAACTGTACCGCTCGTTTGGCCGAGCAATTTGCCGGTCGTTTTGCTGGTTCCTCGACGCGGAAGAAGCACTTCGTTTTCAATTTTCTCAATTTCCCCCCCCCCAATGATCGCTGACGTCATAGCCGGACGATTTATCACCAGCTCCTATTTACTTTTTTTTTATTATATTTCTGCGCAGTTTCCGATCTCCGATTTACGATTTACGCGGAATCGAAGACGTCGAATCTCGCGCGACCAGGTAAGTATACAACGCTCGAAAAATGTGAAATTATTAGTAACGTGTTCTGTGTCCATTCGCTATTTGTTACGAGTTTTATTTGTGTTCCGTACGAATGAGTTATGTTCTGAACGAGTTCTGAACGAGCTCTGTTCCACGGCGCAGAATTTCTCAACGTTGCTCCGTTGTAATCGTGAAGGGGTGGAAAGTGAAACAGAGGGAAAGTTTCCGCCCTCTCCTTCCTGCGTGCATTTTCCTGGGATTCTCTTGCTGCGCCGAATTGTTCGAGTAGCCAGCGGGCAAGTGCGGATGCACACGATGTATATAGCTGTTCAAGAATCCCAATTTACGCTTCCGTAAACAAAAAAAAACCGAGTTCTCGTCTAGCCACGTTGCAACTAAACGATAGTATTTTAGAGTGAT